AGATATTATCGCTGATTTTGACTCTCAGGAAACAACATTGACAGGCTTTATATCTTAAACATATACTTCGCAACCTCTTCTTGTATCTTACTAGCATAAAATATGATAATAACATCTAATGATTTCATAATCACAAAAAATATGTGTTTATCATAAATTTATATTTGTAACCTTGCCTGACGTTATCGAAGGTTAGCTATGAACAACATTGGTGCAGAATACATAAAATGTTCAACGCATCATTATGGAAAAACATTGGATGATCATGTCTCCCTCCAGATTGAGTATCTCATCCCTCCCCATCTGATATAAATTATTAAACGAAACCAAAAAAAGCTATTGAATGTTTGCCAGATAATATTAATCTTTAGTAGGTACAGCTACAACTATTATTAATTAAAAAATATTCTTTTTTTGATTTTATGTTATATATACATGGGATTTTTTTATTCATAAAAATCTATCACCGAAATGAAAGAAGGTAAGGTACACCGTTGTAAGTTGCATTGCCTGGGGAAGTTTCTATACGTGGAATTTACTATTCACTAAACTACTGGATTTAAGATAACCACAATGATTATTCACTCCCGCAAATACATACACCTTACATTCCAACATCTCCGTGCATATTTAAACTTGCCCTCTTGCCCAGTGTACTTTATGTTGAATCTACGGTCAATTTGTCGCGGACATAATCATGTATGCTCAAGCTCTGACCTTTTTTCATAATTTATCAACAAGTCGAAAAGAAATTGCACCCTAGAGTTAGATAATCGTCGTCGTCTTGGCTTGCTTGCTCATATATCCCTAACAGAGGAATTATTTGGCAGTCGTAATGGTTTGCCAGAGCCAGCGAAATTATATATTTTTTCCCTTGATGCCGATCATGTCGCTTGGAAATGAAAGTTTCCACTTTATCGTTTCCACAGCTAATCATCATTTGTGTTTGCTCACACCGATTTCAAATCATGGTGCTGTACCCGAGCAGGAGAAAATAACTAATGAATACCTAATTCTGACCTGATAGCAAAATTCGGTATTGACCAGCATGACATAATAGGTAAAATACCAAAGAATAATACCAAAAAAATACATGCAAAATACTACGCAAATAACAAAATTTGATAATTGGATACCAAAAGAATACCTGTGTGGTATTGCATTATCATAATTTGATATTGGAATGGTATTGTGGGAACATTTTTTTTTTGTATTATTGTTTGGTATTTTACCTCTTATGTCAGGCTCATCCATACCAATTTAAGGTATCGAGATATTCGTTCCTGCTCGGGCAGGCAACGCAGGATATAAAGGTTTGCTCAAATTGCTTTAAGTTCGGTTTTTTTAGAATTTTCTTGTTATAATTTTTGGCATAAATATGAAGTGTAATTCAAGCAGGTCTAATTTCATCCTATTCGAGCTCTTATGCATCGACATTGTTCTACGATTATAGTTATTCCACTAAATGCAATTCAATCCAAATGATAAATTAACCTTGAGGTTTTTGTATTGGTAAACAACTGACCATGAATAGAAAATTGAGACGATTGATGCCCAAAAATGTGAATTTTGCTGCCAAATTCCTATTTCAAAAGGAATTATCCGATTTCATAGGCCTGAAGGCTAACAAAACAGAACATCTTTCGATGGTGTCACATGTGTTCTCATGCATTGCGACAGATAATTCCATCCATAACAGATATCTGGTGAACTATTAGGAGTCCACTGCTAGAGCGCCATGATTTTTTTTTTCGTTTTCTATCAAGCGCTTTCCATCCACCAACAATGATAAGCCTGTCGTACATCCATTTCTAGTGTTGCATTCCGGTAAATACTTTCATCAGACTTGTGATGCAGACGTCAGGGAGACCAGAAAAGGCGAAATGAGAATTTTGCCATTGCTTCTTCGGCGCTGAACACACATTCGTACAACCAAAAGCTACAATATAACGGAATGCCATCAGAATCAACAAGCATACATCAATGGTGTGCTTTGGTTGATAGTCTTTTAAAAAGCTTATTCGTTTGTTGTACGATCTAAAACTGTAATCCTTATTTTTTTTAATTCACGTTGCTTACATCGGTAAGTAGCTTTATGAACTGACCGCAGTAAGTATATAAGACTCAATGGTGGTGAAAAACAAAGATGTAATCGGCTACTGACAAAACTGCTCCCTGAATGATTTACTGGAATCAAAATCATTTTCTATCTAAAACATACGCCTGCTCTCAACTTAACGTCCTTTAATGATCACATTCATAGTTGTGAAATTACTGTGTTCTAAAATTAACATTGCATGGCTTCTGTACCCTAAGGTATTTTTTAAACGACCACGATTACGTACAGTGTATCTCAAAATTGATCGTACAGCAGTAATTAAACTTTAGAAAAACGGCTCTAAAAGCACAAATTAAAACGATACGTCTCTGAATTGTTGGCAGCTGACTCAACATACATTTATCAATAATTGGCTCAGTATTGGGCATATTTGGTTGAGTTAACAAAAAGAGAGAGCCCCAAAAAAAGAGCAATTTAAAGAAAACACATTTTTCTTGAAAAACCTTAATTTCTTGAAATACAATGAGCATCCAACAAATAGGAGAAAATGGGGTGTTTTTTTCTCACATTATATAGAGTTTGAAGAGGAAGTAGGAAGTAGTTTTCAAAATGGCGTATTCGATGTTTTTTCAATAAATCATAGCCTTAAAACTGCGCATCGAATCAAAATTACGTCTGAGACAAAGTTGTAGAAAACCGGATTGCCTTTCCGAAAAAGAAAATCACACCGAAATAAAATTTATAAATATTCGTCAAAAATGAAAACAAAAAATTAAAAACTTCAATTACATAAAATGTACATGATTCAAATGCCTTTATTTTTTTTTTTCTAAAAGACGTTCACTACGAAAAAAGTACAACAGTTTCTTTCTTCTAATCAATAAATGTTCGTTTATTCTTGGCAACAATTGTAATTTTACGATTGATGTGGCTAATAAAATAAGGAATGTTAACAAATGTCTTCGGTTTCAATCAGTTAAACAAAGTTTTAAGAATATTGTGAGTCATCAAAAGAAATATTAATTGCTGGTGATACTATAGTTAAGACCGCCTTACAAATAATTAGTTTCTGCTTACTCGTTTAGTTTGTTATGAGCCTTAAATAAACTTTCATTTCTTAACGTTGCAAACAAATCATTAACGAATCCATGAGGTTTTCATTTTTTATAAGAGAATAAAGAACAGAGAAAATAAACCTTAATTTGTAAAACCACTCACTTGTTAGGTGGCAGCTCCTTCTTACAAAGTATACTTAAAGCTATGGCATCCGCAGCTTGTTTTTGTATTTTCTTGTAATATTTACTTTGAAACAGATTTGTGTAAGCCTATTTTGAAGTTTTATCACTTAAACCACATTAAGTCTGGTGATTATTATTGCTAAATAAATAAAGGATAAGATATGTTTTTTTTGTTAATAACTTTATATTAACAGGCTCAATCGAATAAACTTTACGAGCCAAGTTATCATTTGCGTTATACATTATTGATGTCTTAAACATCTAAGCTCCTCCCCTGATCCTATCCTTTGAAAATGTACCTCTCTAGCCTCGAGTAAACCGCGAGTATTCGGCCCAACTCCTACTAGACATAGAATTAAGTGAATTTTGTTACAAACAAAGAACAATGAACCATCGGCTCCGTAAAGCTAACGCGAATAAGCGAACTAGTTAAAAAAAAAGATGTCTTAAATAAAAAATTAAAGGATTTGAACCGATTACTCGCAGTCTGGTGGATGACAATTATATGGATCGGGAGAGAGAGAATGAGATTTGGAATATGATTTATAATTAAAAAAATGTCACTATTTCTAAAACATGTACTTAATCCTATCAACGTTATATCAGCTTTGTAATTATACAATTATTACAGAAACAAATATACAAAAAAAAAAAATACAAACAAACACACAAACACACAAAATACAAACTAAACACAGGTTAATCAAACTTACAATCTAAGATTAATATTCTTCAAGAAAACATATATAAGTTGCATAAACTCCAGATCGCGTCTAGCCAAAATATCCCGAACTGGAACATTAGATTGTATACCTCGAGCCCGAAGGGAATCGTACAACTCTGACTCCACGGTGCTCAGCACATGACCAAATAGTGTGATTTGCGTCCTTTTAACCTTAACCACATTCACAGAGATTGCTGTCCCCCTGCCCAACTCTTAGAAGCTCTCGTATTTTCATGAGAAAATACGAGGATTGTTTTACCGGCCTCATGAGGTGAATAGGCTCGACAGAACTGAATCCATCCGTAAAAATAAAATAATAATCTGGTGAAAGTGAGGCGATAGTTTCTAGCGTATAATGTTTTGCCGCCAGCTCAGCAACATTTACGGAACAAGGAGTGACGTGGTCAGAGATGTTATATGCCTCAGAACATCTCGGCGGCGCCGACTGGGATCGAACCCAGGCCTGCTGGGGTGAGAGGTAATCACGCTTACCACTACACCACCGGCGCCGCTATGAAATTCGTTATAAATTCGTTATTTAAAAATGTATAATATTTTTGTTGAAGTTCCCCCTCATTAGTTTCAGAAGTGTTGTTAGTTACAAAAGTTAACGTAATTCGGATTGTACGATTCATAAGACATGGAGCGCAGGTGTACCAGTTATGCCTATACATTTATATTATGGTGTGTAATTGGAACACACCATAATAGGATCGTATAGCCATAGCGGGTACACTTGCCCTACGACTCATTGCTTTCTGTGCCTGTTTCCAATTATGTACCACAGTTTCCTCGTTTTCTCCTCCCAAGACATACATACCTAGGTCCCAAACAAAAGAACAGACGAAGGCACAAAAATTGAGAAATTTTCTGGGATCGTTGACAATAGATAGAATTGTGTTGCGTTATTTTTCCTTCGCATAGCTGAGTGCCAGAGACAAACATGATGATGGGCTTGTGCTATTCCTTCTCATTTCAGCTCTGATGCATGCCGTGGTGTTCGGAAACGTGACGGCTATTATACAAAGGATGTATTCACGGCGTTCCCTGTACCAAAGCAAGTGGCGTGATTTGAAAGATTTCATCGCCCTACACCAGGTGAGCGGATTTTCCTAAAGAGGTGTTTCCCATCGCGATGCACAACCGCAGTGGGATGATGGCGGGGAAGTTATTATGAATTCTGTTTGTTTTTGCTTGTTTCATTTTCATTCGTCTCCTTGGGAACCCATCTTACACGTTGTACTAATAGATGCCGAAAGAGCTGAAACAGCGAATGCAGGATTACTTTCAGACTATGTGGTCGCTTAATCACGGAATCGACGTGTACGAGGTACGTTAGTTGCCAAGTTGTACAAATATGACCTACAATAACGGAGGTGATATTTTCTTGATTATATAGATTCTGAAGGAATTCCCCGAGGAGCTAAGAGGTGACATCTCGATGCATCTGCACAGGGAGATTTTGCAGCTGCCTATCTTTGAATCAGCGTCCCAGGTATGCATGGTAACATTAGTATGCAGCTCATATCTCGCACCAATATAAAAATAGAATGCTTTATAAAGAAAACAAAAATGCAAAATTCAATTGAACTCGAAGTCATCCTTTGTAGGAACATTCCATTTAATTTGTATAAGTGCATTCAAAAGAAGAGTGATACTGTGTGGTTTTTGATTAGTAGGACAGAAATCAGATCAAACCCTACTTCCACTACACCGTATACAATTCAAGAAACTCCATATTTTTGTTTTTATTCTTGATTTTACCTGAAATAGGATGAGCATTGGACAACCGAAATATCTTTCGAAATCATTTGCTCATCTTTATTATAGTCGCTACACTCAATTAAACTCCCCGATTGAGTGTAGCGACTATCCTAATTAAACCCTAAAAATTATCTTATGAAGGTTTTGTAAAAAGAAAACTTACTCTGGAAAATGTTGCTTGGTCACTACAGGCTTTTTTAAGAGCTACCAGAATAGTTCTTATAAGAAATAGCTCAGCGAATGTAAAGAATTCTTGCTTTTTTTTTTGAAGTGCCATTTGTTTTGCGTATATATTTGTATTACCGCCAATAATGGTAGTCAATTTGAACTTTCACTTGTTGGAACCAATCGAGAAAGGTATTTTCTCATTGGATCCATGCGATGGAAGTATTGTAGTCATGCGATAATGCGCACTAATGCGCACAGGCAAAAACAATATAATATTATGGCAAATGCATTGCAGATTTGCATTGATAAGTGTATGTTTTCGATATTTTGCATAACAATTTCTTTCAATGTCATTTAAAATTTGGTATTGATACTGTGCTGATAAAAAAATTTGTAAGAACAACAAATGATTTTTAATTAAAATGAACTTTTCAACTGTGATTCCCAAAAAAAAAAAAACTATCGCCTTGAAAATAAATACATATATATTGGGCCAGTAAACAGTTAACGAAAGCATTCAATCTTCTATAACTGCAGTCTATTGAAAAGTACGTAAAAAACCATAAAAGATCATTGTTTGATTATTTATACAATTTACCCACTTGAATCCACTGCTGACGCTTTATCTCAGCTTTTATCAAACTTTTGAAACAAGTTTATGGTAATTGTCCTAAAAATATATATCTTGGCACGTTTTACATCATTTCCACAAGTCGTTAGAAAAATTTACTTCCTAAACCGTTTATTTATTTATTTATTTATTTCGTCAACCAACGTAGACTAGTACAACTAATACAGTTTTGTTTTCTTAAATATATATTTATATAAAAAAAGTAGTGTCAGCTTTCTTGTGTTTTCTTTTATGAGTTGTTATTTCTTATGGAATAAAAATATTGCTTTAGTTTATGCCGGGACATTGTAAAGTCAATGGTTTCGCAGTGTTTATTGTAAGAGGCCATCATGCAGTTTAATGGCCCATATTTTGCATAATTTGTGCGATGATGTTTTATGGCAAATAAATTTCGATTTCGGAGTTGCCGAGTGGGTGCATGGAAATTTAGTTCCAATGTCAATACCTTGAAAGTAAGCGGCGCCGGTGGTGTAGTGGTAAGCGTGATTGTCTCTCACCACAGCAGGCCTGGGTTCAATCTCACCGGCATGTTCTGAGATGATCGCGCCTAGCCAGTAAAACCATTGGTCCCCGGCTCATGAGTTGATGGGTCGATAGGTCCAGGTGTGGGAGCTCGGCTTCAAAAATGTTTCTGCCGTCTTCGTCGAATTAGATGCTAGATTGTTGCTTCTTTCATCGAACTGTGTGTAGAAAATATCCAGCCGTGACGATTCAAAGAGAAAGTTGATGCAGAGAATCGATCAAAATCATTTGCACCCCTGCTTCCAGGTTTGGTTACATGAGCATTTTGTGTGGTCGTTTGGGGCGTGTGGTTCAGAATATGGACAAACAGGCAGATAAATTCTATTCCTACTCTTTACTGTAATAAGCTTGGTGGCCCTGAAAAGGACCGTTTTGTCGCCAAAGTTGGTGATGATTTAACCTTCGCAACCGCACAGAGTGCGTCTCTGTCGCTTCAAAGCGTAGATGACATCCATGGCTGCTTACGCTTGGCGTGTTCAGTGTAGGTGACAGTTATTTGAACTTAAGGTTTATTTTTGAATTTTTCTTTTGTAAAAACCGATTTTTTTCCAGGATTTATTTTTTATATAGCCTTATTAGTTCCCAACAACTCTTATTTAACCAAAATTTCTCTACAACCAACTGATGTCGAACTTAAATTTTTATATAATATGTATACAAGTCAAATGATCTCCTTTCCTGCAGAAATATTGGGTCTATCAAACTGAAAATATGTGCAGTGTCATCCAGATTGATGATGGTCGAGCACGATTTCAGGTTTTTTTAGCTTATTCTGGATGGAATCCCTCTGATCAATAACAACTGAAAATCTTTGCAACAATGGTCCCAAAACCGTTTTTAAGAATATAATAATTTTAAGTAAATAGATTCTTCGGGGATTAAAAAAAATATTGTTGCGTCAATGTAATTGTAATTGGGTCATATTAGTGATCAAGTACACTGATCAACTGCACCCCGTATTACGGTAGTTGAGCTAGATCAGCATAATATTGCACAAAGTTGTAGACATGTTTATTTTAATGGTTATCGTTTCATTTATACACTGGTTTTAAAAAGGTAACTTAGGGTGACCCTAAAAACCATTGTTTTTACATTAACTTTGCATACTGTAACTCTAATGTCTGTTCCCGGTAAGTTCTCAATAGCAAGAGACCTCTCGAGCTGGGTCTCAAGGTCGGCTTACTACTGGGCAATCGGAGGGGCTAGTTCCTTTGCTTTTAGGCCTAGCGGCCCCTAGAGACTGCTAAGCCGGATCACGTGCGCGTCGGTTGATCTTGTCAACGGACAAAATGGCGGTGTGTACCAAACGGTAATACAAAAGGTCCTGTGAGGGTATCGAATGGACGTCAGTTCAGCCGTTAGCTATAGTTTGGGCAGAGAACTATTTACCTGAATCGAGCTGTGGTGCAGCAAATTGCCACACTCGAATATTACCACTCACTACTGACTATTTCAAGCACTTTAACTGTTTAACACCTTTCACACGTGAACTCCTGGATAGTTATGAGGAATGGCGGATCGTTCGTGGGCTATCTGACCTCTGTCCCTTCGCTTTACAATCCCACCATCCTATATCCCAATCAAAAAAAAAATCCTTTCTCCATTTTCTCGTCTGCATATCCTTGTAGTATTTGCACCCACTGTACTGTAACCTATCCCCATTTTACTGTTATACAATTCAAAGTTTAAACAATTCCCTACTAACAAATTGACAATATTTTAATACATAATATGTATAACCAACACCAAATAACTTATAAAAACGTGACAGTACATTAAACAATTATGCACAAATTAAACATCATACAAATCTTGTAACAGACGGTTACAATACATTGATTGTTCTAGACAATGGTTTACTCCAGACACTCGTAGAACATTTAACGGTGCTTATAGTATCTAAGTTGCTATCTCTTTCGAATGGAAAGCCATAATTCATTTTTGTAGAAAAATATGTTGTTTCAAATGTTTGAGATATTAACAAGGAGCAAGTTATGCTATGAATGAGAGCACGATCTACAAAATGCAACTCTATTAGTTCTCTATCGTGATTTCATTCATATATAGTGTTCAAACTACGAGATAATAACTAGGTAGCCATTATGTTGCAAAAGTGGCTAGAATAAAGAATTCGCGAATTTAAATGCAAACATTTTTGTCTTCCATAATACGACTTTGGGACCATTGTGCGTTGTGTTGACGACGGTGATGTAATCCCTGAATGTAATTTTTATCAAGCCGTCGTTGAAAGGGTGCTGTGTTCTGCATATGTTGACTATACTCAGTATTTTGTTCATGTATTGAATCTACTTGCCTCGAATGAGTTGAATCTAGGAGATCAGTAAAAATAAGTCAATAGCAGTCGTTAATGTGTCTTCTTATATTCATCATTTTTATCTTAGATTACACGTTGCACTTGAATTGAACATCCGAATATTGAATCACAATTTAATTAAATTAATTATATGTACTGAAGAAAAAATGGATTGTCTTCTAATGAAAGTAAATGACATGATTCTGTTTTGTACCTCACTGTGCATTTCATTACAGGGCTGCCTAAAACTTTTATCTTTACATATCAAAGCTAACTTTTGTGCTCCTGGCGAGTATTTGATCCATAAAGGTGATGCGTTGAGCTATATCTATTACATTTGCAACGGTTCCATGGAAGTAATGCAGAACAATATGGTCGTCGCCATTTTAGGTGAGAGCTGAAAATACTAGAGTGGGATCTTTTAGATCTAATTTAAATTTTATGATATCAAATAGGAAAAGGTGATTTAGTCGGTTGTGATATAAGTATACATTTACTACACGGAAGCCAGGGCAATACTGGAAATCAAGGCTCGCAAGATGCTATTGTAAAGAGCAGTGGGGACGTGAAAGTAAGTTTTGAATATAAACTAATTCATGAGTAAGAGTTGTAAGATATTCATCTTTGCGTGTATATTCTGCAGGCTCTTACCTATTGTGATTTGAAAAGCATACATTTGAGCGGGTTGGTAGATGTGTTGCGTCTATATCCAGAGTATCAGCAGGAGTTCGCCAACGACATACAGCATGATCTTACATACAATCTACGCGAGGGTTACGAAGCAGAAGAGGAAACCGAAAACAACGGACCATGCCTTGCACTACCGTCCATTAGTGAAGATGATGAAAACCAGTCGGACGTTGATTCCAGCACGACGTCTCCTTTAAACACATCCCTAACAAAATCACCAGCTCACAATACCACCGCTAGTCCAAGACACGCGAAGCTGATACACAGGTAATCTACTGTTAATTATTTGTATCGTTAGTGATTTTTTTTTGTCTCTGAAAAGGTGCTTGACCAAAATTCACTGGTACTCGACAGAATTGCATGCAAATTCTTAAAACCAGAATTTATAGGGCAGATTTTAACACCAACATTTTACCATTTTAAAAGGTTTTACCACAGACAAACAGACATAAAACTCGCAAGTTGTTCATCGAACAAGCATTTAACGGACAATTTAAAAGTATCGTAGTTGTTAGTACCGCCACCTGTGGCGCACATAGTCAATTCCCTTGCGTTTGACGTTTACACACTACCGCCATCTGTTCAGTGTAGGGCCCACCACAGTGTACTCAACAGATGGCGGTAATGTTTTAGCGAGGATGTTTTACAGTGAGAAATATTCAATGCGCTATGTCTGTTTGTCTGTGGTTTTACCATGAAAAGAAGTAGACGAAAAAGGATTCCTTACTGTGTTAAAACCCTTTAGCGGATGTGTTTTTTTTTTGTTCAACTGAAAACACAACTTTTTCGTTCGGGATGTGGCCAAAAAATGCATCTGATTTCAAATTTCGTGCAAATCTCGTGCAACCACTAAACGGGTACATTCAGAGTCAAAACGCATCGAACGACATAGTACGGTAGCTACAACGAGTGCACAAAAGCTGTACTCACTAATGTTGATGAAACCACACTGCTATGTTGATGACGAGACGTACGTAAAGGTGGACTTCCAGCAGATTCCGGTGAAACAGTATGTCACTCGTAGTGGCAAGTCTGTGGCAAGTGTACCATAGCACCTCTGGCAAAAGAAAACTATCTAAGTGATTTGGCAAGCAGTTTGCTCGTGAGGAAAAAAGAACATTCCTTTCGTAACAACTGCGACCATCAATGGGCAGGTATACATTCAAATTAGGCCTGTTGCATTTATCAAATCGCACGAGGGCCCTTTAGCTTTTCTGATCGGGTTTGGCATTTTGATCGGAACTAGTTTATATCCGTAAAAGGTGGGAAGCCTTGGAAAGAGGTTCTCCAGGCACATTGCTTGAATATCATGCTAGTTCAACATTACATTATATACTTAACTACTACAACAACTACAATAACATAGTGAACAGCATACGAAAAAGACAAACTAAAAAAGTACAAATTAAGAAAAAAAAAAAAAACAAAACAAAAGCATGTATGCAAATGAAGAAAATCTGAATTCCGATTGAAAAATGGAATTACTGACTTTTTCCCGATGTTTTTTTATTCCCGACTTTCTTACGCAATTGAATTGTCTAAATTTTACCGAACATATCAGCTGTTGAAAATTCGGTAACAATTACCGACGTCGGTTACAATTTCTATGTGTGCACGTAGGTGTTAAGAATCATTCATGTCGTTATTTTTTGTTTTATATTTTATTAGAAGACATCAGCAGTTCCACACAGATTCGCAGATCGTTTCGGATGGATGTTTTTAGAATTACTTGTTATTTTACACAGTTGTTTGTTACTGTCCAACATGCCATTTTACATATTTGGTTTCCTAGTTTTGTACACGATTAACACTTGAAAAGGGCTTATGCAAAAATGATACACATCAATAGAAAAACATATATCTCACGAACGATTTGTTTGATCAAGATGGTGTTTTCGGCGAAGTTACGGACAAGTATTGTGCCTTTCAAGAAAAATAGCCACTGTAAGAAATTGGTTTGTTATTTACAACAAAAATCAAAATTAATAAAAAAAAATTGCATATTTTTTTAATTATTTTTTTTTTATTTATATTGTAGTTTAGATAAAGTTCTACTCACTGACACTGTGTAGTTGCTGGGCAATTCATAAACAAAAAAGTTATGAATTATTGAAAAAGTACTATTTTCCAAAATACTACCTATAGTTATCGAATATCTCTGAAGTAGTTCCAAGTAACCAAAAGTCCTCATAAAAGGCTATTTGTGGCTTAAGCAGCTTGGTTGAAGGTGGTTTATAGAATTCTAAGCAGCCTCATTTTTATGTCGTTATAAGAACTTTAAAGTTCCGGTATCATAATTGAAGAGCATTCTAAGCAGTTTCTGGCGGAACTCGAACGGAACTTTGAGAAAATAAATTTAAAACAGGTTTTTGTCCTCTACACCAATTCTATATTTAGTTCGCAATTTTATGAAAGTTATTTAAGTTTCAACATAATCGTAGAAGGTCTAACAAAAAATTAAAAAAAAAATTGTCATTTCAAATGGAACTGCTGAGTACTAATTAGTTTAAAGAGAAAGAGAGAGAGAGAGATAGGAAGATTAGTAATTTCATTTAATTCCACTACCTTATTTGCTTATCCTTGACAGATACGCGTATTTCGTCCACAATATGCAGACTTCTTCAGTGTCTTGTACTAATACTCGATTAATGAGTTGTCCTTTTCTTCATCTAATCCTATGCTTTTATTTTAGTCGAAACAAATCTCTGGTAGCTTTGAGAGAACGCGTAGAGCGTCAACGGTCAGTGCAGGCCACCACCGTTAGTGCAATTCCAGAAGCTGATAATTCATTCGAAGGATTGAATTTGGAGCTGAGAAACAAGGAGAAGACACATCCAGCTAGAGTATCAGTTGAACGATTAGACACACAGGTGTCGTCTCTGCATAATGACGTTGCTGCTTTAAGTATAGAGGTGGGTAGATTCATAGAGGTAACTATAAGAC